ACACCACGCCCTTCTCTCCTGTCGCAAGCAACGACGACTGCCGCCGTGAGCCTACCGCGAGCGCTGTCTCCTCTAGCTTGCCGGCTTAACACCACGACACAAAGTATCGCGTGTTCGGCCGGACAGTGCTAGCGCGCACGTACGTTGCACACCGAACCAGCATGCCAGCCTCCAGTTCGCACTCTCGTGATGGCGGAAGCGTTGCCGTGAGCAGTACTATTGGGCACGGTAGCAACCGCAGATTCTTCAGTTTCGCCAGCTTCTGCCGCCAGTGGCTCGCTGTGAAGATAAGATGACACTCGTCTACAACCACCTGCCGCAGCATCCCCTTTGTGCTTAGCATAGTTGCGTACCCTAAGAAGTTCCCTTTGCTTGTGATATTGCCTACAGCATTAGCGCTAACCACAACTACAGCAGCCAGGTTAGTCTCGCCATGCTTCCACTCAATACAGTTGATTCCGCACTTCTGCATACGGTCTACTGTGTTGTTAATAAGCTCTTAATACAGAACAACAACCACAGTAACGCCAGCATTGTCCATGCACGCTGGCACAGTAAACAGCAAGCTCTTGCCTCCGCCTGTTGGAAGCACAACCACAAGCGGCGTCTGACTGTTAAGTACAGCATGCAATGCCTGCTCTTGCTCCACAGACCGAAAGCTAATCTCCTGTTGCCTAACCACCTGCTGCATTGCCTTCTTAATAGCTTTGTCTTAATTGTCTTGCACGCAAATCCTCTAAGGCTGTAGTCCTAGCTCTTTCTCCCTGCTCTTGCCACTAATGTCTTGCTTTTGCGTTTACTTTGTTCTATAACAGCCTAATTCCCTCTTATTTTCCTTCTCCTTCTCCTTCTCCTTGCGTCCCCCTTCCACTTCCTCCTCTTGCTGCACTACCCCAAACCTACTATTAAGTCCTAAGAAGCGGTGCCACATTGTGCTAAGAGGTTGAAACGCCTTAATAGAGCGCGAGCTAAGATGCTTGACAATGTTAATTGGCACACTATAGTTTGCTAAACCTATGACTGTTGTCTGTGAGTTTTGTAGCTCTACTAAGTCCTTGCTTTCTTTGTCCACCTTAGCTTCTTTAATCTCCCTAACATTGTCCTGATACCCTTTGCTAAATAAGTGCCTAACTGCAACTCGCCTAATGCTAACAGCTGTGTGCTAGTAGTCCTGTGTGTGTAGCTTAACGCCTAGTCTCTTGCCTGTCTCTTGCTTTAGCGCCCGCGTTAGATGGTCTGTTGACCACAGCCCTTGCTTGTTCGCCTAGATGTAGTTGATGCGTCCTTCGCCAAGCACCTGCACCTAGAGATACTCCTGGAATGGCCGCAAGTATACCAAGTAGATGGCCATGACCTGCCCTAGCCGCGGCGGAAGAAAACGCGGAACCACCTTTGGTCTATCCCACTGCAACTAAGACTTGTGATAGCGGACAACAGTCATAATTTAGCTGTCTGCTATAAAGATATTGCGGTCCTGCAGCAGCCTGTTACAAAACCTCATTGACAAGATCTCTAGCCCTTGACCTGGCTGTCTAGACGTTATGTGCACGCACACTAAGAGCAGCGTTAAAAAGCGGTTGACCTGGCGCAAGTACTGCTTAACTTGCTTAATATGCCACTTTCTGTGATGCTTTAGCCTACGGCCTTGCGCGCTCTGCTCAACCCGGGTCAGCATCCAGTATAGCTTGTCCTCTAGACTGTTCTCGCGCCGCTCTGCAAACTACCAGCCTTGCTGCGTGAAAGTGACTTTGTCCACCACGTGCGCTAGATTAATGGCAAACCGCTCTTTAGCCTCTTTAAGCTATATTAGCTCCTGCCACAACATCTCCTCTACTTCAACTACTATGTCCTGAGCCATCTTGCGGAACTAGCTAATGTAGATAGGTCGGCTGTTTAAGTAGAAGATCTTCTTGTCCTTAGACCAGTACGCGCTGCCTGAGTTGCTGTCTGTTAACGCAACATGCTTTCTATACGCTAGCAAGCTAATTACTTAGCTTATTAGACTGTACAAACTGTCGGCTAGATACTTCACTCTCTTAGCTAGGAAGCGCTCACGGTCCTTGTTAGTCTGCTTGCTGCGCTTAGCTGACGGAAGCAGCTTCTTGACGCCCAACACGCGTATGCAGTATGCTACGCCGGCGAGCATGTATGAGTAGTGTTTCGCCCTGCGCAGTCGCCGGGCCGTGGCATTGATGCTGAGCACGGCCAGAAAGTGGACAAACCCGCTGCTAAACGGCTGATCGCCTACTAGCTTAAAGATAAATAACGCCAGCACGTTGAGCAGCGCGTCCTCTAGCTTAACCCTTTCGCTGCTAGGGTCACCTAAGGCCTCCCACAACGCCAACGCTAGCTCCTTTTGCCAGCCCTTCTAGCAGAAGAGCTCGCGTGCGTCCTTCATTGTGTCTACCTTCGTCCTGCGGCGGTGGATAGGGTGATGTTGGTATTGTTGAGTGGTGATGTCGCTGTCGTCGCTGCTGGTCTTGCATGAGCTGAGGAGGGGGCATATGGCAAACAACTTAACAAGGGAGCGAGATCTAAACAAGGTGGATTAAACAAGTGTATTATAAGGTCTAAGGAGCTTAATAGAGCTCTGGGCTGACTATATACTGTACGAGAGAGGAGCTATGCCTAATGAGTGAATAGTGCAGTACATGGGTATGATATCGCGTGAGACACGTGCGACAGTAGTTGCAGTCGTGGTCGACAGCCAGGGCTGGTAGCTGCTGCGCCAACAGCAGAGCTAGTGCGCGCATCCTCGCAAAGGAAAACCTACAATTAACTGCACAGTTGCTAGGCTAAAGCGTTAATGCCCTAAGCACAACTAAGAAGTGGAGAAACCTATTGCGTTAGTGGTAGTGGTAGTTGTAGTTGCGGTGATGGTGGTAGTTGAAGTTGTGGTTGACAGTCTAGGCTAGTAGCTGCTGCGCCAATGGCAGAGCTAGTGCGCGCATCC